CATTATTATATTCCGCCGTTATAATCAATTGAGGTAATATTCTGCTACTGTAATAAAGTGATGTAAGAAATGGCTAAAGATGTTGTAAGCTTTATACTCTCATTTATGATCCTGACGGAAAAATGTGAATTTTCGAGTTCTTCCTTAGGGTGTGCTCGATAGAACTGCGTAGTTTAGTGTCATCTCTTGAGTACTTAGTGTCTAATAGAAGACAAGTACTCTTGGAAGGCATTAGATTAGGCAGTTCTACCACACGCTCTAGGTAGGGGGTGTGCGTGCTGATTCCATGGCGAACCCGATGGGATCTCAAGTCTTACGTCTTGGCGAGATCGACTTCTATCTTGCCTGCGACGTCAACATGGAGATTTGCTACCGAACTCAAGTCGCCGTGCGAAGACCAGCAACCCAGATCGAAGACTCGCGTGGTCATGCAACAATCGAACCCGACGTCTACTCCGATTAAGGTGGGGCCAGCAGGTTTCCATTAACTTGGTGAAGGCATCGGACGAGTACAAGAAGGCGTCAGATCTAAGCGAGTCCATGCACCGCATCTGCTACACCTCGCACTGCCTAGAGCCTCTATTTGTCGCTGCCGTTCTGTTTTCCGTGGAGTTTGTTGCTTCCCCATCGCTGAGGAGCCTATTGCCGAGTCCGCGAGGCCTGGTAGATTTGGTATGGACAAGTACGTACATGATTACGTGCCTTTGCATCAGCCAACAAGCAACGACAAGCAGATAATGAAGGAATCTGTACACCATGCAAGCTAATTAAATTAGTATGGGCATACTCGTGCACGTGTGTGTATGCCGAATTATTTCTTTGGTTGTACTCCGTGCTTTTGGGAGATCTGGCTACATACAAGCACGAGCCAATCATGCCTCCGTCGAGTCGCAAGCGAGCCGTCCGAGTCGTCAAATGAGCCGTTCGCACCGCATCTATCTACTCGGACATCATGACTCGCTGGCTCTTCTACTCCACTCGACGTCAATCAAGCTAAGTCACACTTTAATATTCTTCTAAATATTCTCTAATCTTCATGCGCCTCCAATGTTTCTCCAAGCTGTTTTCTTCACAATTATTTTTCAAACGACTTTTCTCCATGTATACCATCTTAAATATGACATATGACTATACCTAAGGCAAATCCCCGAACAGTCATGTTTACGCTCGGAGGTTCCCAGTTTCTCTCTACACGTGCACGAGCGCCTGCCCTCTGCGTTGCGGGTGGCCGGTAGTGGCTCCTTGGCGATGCCTTGTTTTCCTATACGTACACGGGCTCTGCGCTGCGCGTTACGGTTTACGGGCTAGCCAGGGCTGGGAGCTAAGCTACAAACTAACTGGTCGAATGGTTTATATTAAATATAAACACTACTTCAAAATAACACTTAGTGTTTACACCAACTGGAAGGAAATATTCATATTTAAAATATGAACAAACTTCAAAATAAATATATTGTTTATTTACTCCGCTCTACTACCTTCATCGCGGAGTTTATATACTTTATTTTTACATCATGTACTACCCGTTCTCTATATTTTTATTATAGGGGCCAGGTTCGATTGTCGAGCTTATTTTTTACGCTCGGGGACTAGATCAGTCGGGAAGGACAAGAGTATCATCATTCGGGTGGTCGGACCACCTAGCAGACGGACTTCACCGCCAACTAATTGGTCGGACTGTTCGGCGCTCACTCCTGCCAGGCGTTCACTTCGCTCCCGATCAGTTGCTTGGGCTTCATCGTCAGCTTCGCTGGGGGGCCTCGCCAGCTAAGCTAGGGACTCCTCAGCGTTTGAATTCTTCGTTCAAGAATCACCAGCTAAGCTGGGGACTACTCGGTTTTTGGATTCTTCATGCAAGCATCGTCAGCTAAGCTGGGGACTCCTCGGTGTTCGGATTCTACATGCAAGTGTCGCTCAGCTAAGCTGGGGACGCCTCGGTGTTCGATTCTACGTGCAAGCGTCGCTAGCTAAGCTCGGGAATCCTCAGTGTCCGGATTCTTCGTGCAAGCATCGCCAGCTAAGCTAGGGACTCCTCGGTGTTCGGATTCTTTGTACAAGAGTCGCCAGCTAAGCTGGAGACTCCTTTGATGGTTGGAATTTGCTACGTCTCTTCGGTGTGCTATTAAGTTGCTCCATGCTGTTCGGATCAGGGTGCTGATCTTAGGCAGCACATCCGTGGTCTTGATAGGTACATCGCAGATGACGTTGGCAAGTTTTCGTCAAACTTCTTTGATCCTGCTACAAGATTTCTTCTCAATCTTCTAGCAATCTCGGTGACTACGTGTATACACGTCATCTGGCGATGACTGTACTATTTTTCTCAGCTAAGCTAGGGACTAGTTTGGCACCTAAAGACTACTGTTTTGGATCCTGGCACCATATGAATACTTCACCTACTGTCAGGCTAGGGGACTAAGTGGGCACATTTCACCTTGCGGTGAATATGCTTATTTCTAGGACCCAGGTCTCTTCGAAATGACTAAGTCGTGGATGATAATCGTCATTGCTCTCTGTTTGGCTCTAAGAGTCAATTCTGCCTATGTCATGGGTGCCAAGCATCTATCTTCGCCATCGAGGGACTAAGTTCCTCCGCACTGACTAAGTCAGGGACGCTAAGCGTCCTACTTCGCCGTCCGAAACCTAAGTGGGCACACTTCTCCTAAGGTGAAGGTTTCAAAATTTTAAACTTGAGCTCCTTATATCCTTCTGACAAACCTCAGCTTTGAGTGAGTCCGGGCATGGCTCCCAGTTAAACCGGTCGGATGCTCGTTTCAACAGCTCTGCTCCCAATTCAACTGGTCGGATGCTCGATTCAACAGCTCAGCTACCAGTTAAATTGGTTAGACGTTCGATTCAACAGTTCAGCTCCCAGTTAAACTGGTCAGGCGCCTGCTCCTGTTGACCGGCTACATATTCAACTGCTCGAACAAGCTCAAGACGGTGTTGCTTAGCGGATACAAGGTGCCCGGGGCTAACTGTGGGAGTATGACCCCCAGTACCCACGGCGCAAGACATGGGCCGCACCATCAGGGGTGACCCAGCCCACAAGATCAAGGCGTGCGATGCACGACACTGATCGACAAGCACCGCAAGGCTACAAGAAGATATGATTTATTATATATTATAATATCAAATAGAATACTTTACTTATAATCCTACCCCTCCAGAGTAGATAAGGAGGGACAGGGGTCTCCTAGTCGATATCGACATACAGATCCTGGGCTTAGCCTAGAATCATCTCATCTCATAATACAATCCACCAAAGATGACGTAGGGTATTACGTCAAGCTGACGGCATGAACCTGTTTAAATCGCTGTCTCTGCATTCTATGTCATCATTTAGTTCGTATCTCACACATCTCCACCGATTCTCTATTACCGTGCACTGTTTCGTCGACGGTGCATGGCAACCTGAGTCTTCATCGGACTTGAACTTTGCAGCCGATGACAGCAACCGTTTATGAACGTAGTCAGACCAGTCAAACTGGTGAATACAGTTGGGGTCGGACAGGGCACCCCAGTAGTGTACGTGCACATAATCATGCTTTGGCTCCCGGCGCAAACAGGGTGGACATCACAAAAACCACAAACGCAACTTTGAATGCAGCCTCCTGTTCTCGCTCATCCCTCTTGGGTACCTAGCGTCCACCAGCTGCTGAACAGCCTTAGAGCCCGTTTGGCCGGGCTCCGAGCGACTCCGGCTCCTCTGACTCCTCCCATGTTCATCTCCTGTAGCGACACTGTTCACCAGAGTCATTTTTCTCTCTCCTCCTTTCCTCTCTCATTGACAGCGTCGGAGCCAAAGAAGCTTGTTTTTTTTTCTCCTCCGGCTCCAGCTCCTACGCGCTACAGTGTGGGAGCCAGAGCCTGGCCAAACACGCCCTTAATACTACATTGCTCTTTACCCGCAAAAGGCCAACACTGTAGCTTCATTCTTTCCTTGGCCTCTTTGCTCAGATGTCCTGCTTCATTGACCCTTTTCCCAGTATCCGGAATGCCAAACACAATAGCTATATCCTTCTTAGTGAACCTTAAAACGCTGCCATTTGGCATTGTTAACCTTGAATTTGCAACATCAACCATTCCCATAAGCCAAGCTGAGAACCGTCTGTTTGTAGATTTAATCAGTGGAAACTTTAGAAGCCCTCCGAAACCCATTGATTCAACGAGTTCCTTTTTCCTTTCATCGAATCCTGATATAATGTCATGTATTGCTTTCACCGAGCACCTTGCTTGATTGGACCCTGACTCCACTGCGTTTGATTCACTACTCAATGTCCTCCCTGGTTGATCCCATCTGCATGAAATTGAACCAGGAGTGGATTTTGTCGCCGACTTTCCAAGCATCCCCGACGAAATCACACACTCGAACTCCTCCTGACTGCCCCTGTTCATCCCCCCTACATGCGATACTGCATAGTTTACCAATGGGTTTGTTGTCAGAAACCAAAACGCGCTTCACCATAGTATCAATCAAGTAGGTTACTATTTCACTCTAGCAAACGGCGTTAGTAGATAATACTAGAGTCGGAAGCTAACCTTCTGTTTTAAGACCTTGGTTTGGCCTACTTCCAAGTTCCAACCGTAGGGCCCCGCTAATTCTCTAGTCCGCAAACAACCTCACACTTCTCGCTGTAAAATCTTGAACCTCCGCATCAGAGACTGCAACGCCGTAGCAATTTCCCCCCTCACCAGAAGTTACAATCGTTTAACGCACACAGGATTATGGAATAGCATGAGATCTGCACAACATGTTAGTATGATGACTAACCTTGCACACAAATCTGCATCCATGGGTGCCAGAAGAACCAACCCTAGCTCTGTGTCGCCCGCAATGCTTCGCCTTTCCCACACTGGTGTTGGGGAGGCCGCAAGAAGAACAGTGAGTGAACAGTTGAATTGATTCGGCCGGACATCAGAGTACACGAGGCAACAGTGTTTCGTTCATTTTGCTATGCTCACACCCGCGTTCACCCAGTACACGTCAGCTAATGACTTCCTTATCCGCGTGCGCCGGACTCGTGCCTGCGGTCTTGCTCCATGGCGCGGACGATGTCCTTGAGCTCCGCGCCGGTGTCGGCCGCTGCCCCGTCCTCGCGGATGCGCCGCAGCGAGGCGCGGGCCTCGTCGAGCCTCCCACGCAGCACCAGACTGTTGGGCGTGTCAGGGATGAGCGCCGCGCCGACGATCAGCATGTTCGCTGGCTCGGACGTGGCTTATAAGTCAGAGCTTATCATCAAACCAATAATATTTTGCTTTCATACCAAACCAACCAATAATACTTTCAGTTATAGCTTATAAGTCAAACCAGCCTCAACAACAGGACCGATGACAACGGCAGCCTGGACGAGGCCGACGCCGAGCGAGAGGCGCCAGCCCCACCTCGGGATGGAGTTGGTGCCATAGTTCACCATGTCCGCCATGAACATGCCCACGTTAGAAGAATAAGTGGAAGCAGGTCGTGAACGCGCCTCGCCACCGTGCCGGTGCGATCTCCGCCAGGTACACGGGTGCAGACTGCAACCAACACACCACTGTCACGATGCACCTTCTGTATATATCCTTGCGAGTTACGGTGAGCAAATCGTGCGCATTGGCTGAGCAGTGAGTGATCACCAGGCTGGTGAAGCCGCGACGGCGAAGCCAAGCAGGATGCGGCCAATGATGAGCATGCTGATGTCGACGGCGGAGGTGTTGAGAATGGCGCCGGCCAAGAAAAACATGCCACCGATCAGCATGGTCACTGGTAATAATGTTGACGATCTAATACATGAAAATCAGTGTAAAAAGAATGCTAAACCTGTCATTGGAGTTCAGTGAAAGCAACGCTGTCGACAGTAGTAGCTGCAGAGTTTTTGTTTGTTTTTTCCCCCGAACATCAGGAATGAGGCATTCAGAGGTATTATCCAAGCACAGCTCGAGTACATTACCGTATCCACTACATCGACGTGGTTACATTTTCCTTGGGTGAATTTGATGGCAAGAATACAAACATGTACCGTTTCAAACTTGACACTAGAGCGCACGTCAGATATTCTAATGTACTGCTACTGCTAGCCATCAGGCACGGACCGGCCCACCCAGTCCAGTACAACCAACAATGTTTCGCTCTGTTCAAACTTCAAACCGGCCCATCCACCACTTTGGGGGCTGACGGCGGCGGCGGCTTGACGAAGCGCTTCCAGTACCAGTGGCGCGCCCACACCTCGCGGAGTGACTCGATGGGCACGCCCTTGGTCTCCGGCAGGAAGAAGAAGATGAACGCGGTCATGACCACCACCCAGCCCGCGTTGTACGCGAAGGCGCCGTACTTGAAGCTGCAGAGCATGTTGAGGAAAGATTGCGTCTGCACGAAGGTGAGCGCCAGCGAGATGGCCTCGCTCATCCCCTGCCCCGCCGACCTCACCTCCAGCGGGTAGATCTCGCTGGGGATGATCCACTTGAGCGGGCCCCACGACACGCCGAAGCCGGCCGTGAACAGGCACACCAGCGCCACCACCGCCACGGCGTAGGGCCGCGGCATCGCCTTCTCGCCGTCGGTGCCCAGCTCGGCGCCGAAGATCCATGCCATGGCCACCAGACACGCCAGCAGGATGGCCCCGCCCACCATGAACAGCGACCGCCGCCCGACCCGGTCCACGGCCACCGCGGCGACGGCGATGGACGCCAGGCTCACCACGTCGGTGATGATGGACCCCAGGATCGCCTTCTGGCTCGTGAACCCGATGGTGTAGAAGAGGAGTGGCGTGAAGAGCGTCACCACGATCATGCCCGTCAGCTCGAAGAACACCGGGATGGCGATGGCCATCACCAGGTGCGGGCGGTACTCGCGCCGGACGATGCGCCGGAACGCGCCGGACTCGTACCGCCGGTCCTCCTCCGCGGCCTGCATGATGTCCTTCAGCTCCACGTCCACGTCGGCGGACCTCCCGCGGATGCGCTGCAGCGACGCGCGGGCAGCGTCGGGCTTCCCGCGCAGCACGAGGCTGTTGGGCGAGTCCGGGATGAACGTCGCGCCCACCATGATGACGGTGGCCGGGACGATGCCCACGCCGAGGGACAGCCGCCAGCCCCACACGGCGATGGTGTTGGCGCGGTAGTTCACCAGGTCGGCCACGAACATGCCCACGTTCAGGAACAAGTGGAACACGCTGGTGAACGCCCCACGCCATCGCGCCGGCGCGATCTCCGCCAGGTACACCGGCGCGGACTGGTTCGTGAACCCCACGGCGAAGCCCAGGAGGACGCGGCCGATGACGAGCATAGCCACGTTCACGGCGGTGCAGTTGAGCACGGAGCCGACGAAGAAGAGCGAGGCCCCGATGAGCATCGAGTTCCGCCGCCCAATCTTCTGGTGATGTGGCCCGCGACCAGGCAGGCGAACATGCCGGCGAGGTACAGCGACGAGACAAATGTGGTGAGCAGCTGGCTGTCGAAGATGCAGTACTCGTCCTGCGTCGCGTTGTTCATCTTCTCCAAGATGTCGGGGAAGAAAGCCTTCAGGAACGACTCCATCTGCGTCAACCCACCTGAAAATTTCACCATCCCGTTTTCAATTAAGCAGGCTGAATCACTTGGTCATCAAGTGGTATGCAAAACAGTTCATAACGGTCTGCGATCGTACTGATTACATTTCACCGATCATGTACGTAGTGCCAAATTAAGGTATCATCTCTTAGAAGTGAAGAAAAAAATTCTTATGCATGTTAAATAAGGTTTCAAATAGGGAGCTAAACTATTCAGCAACGGTGAAGAAGCTAAAAAAACTCTATAGCAGGATATAATAGTATCTTTTTATTTTAGTGATTTTACTAGAAACATGAGAATGAGACATAGTAGTACGAAATTTTTATTAACACAAATACACAAACACATATCGAGACCTCTAGATAATAAATACTCCACAACCATTCATTCAATATATCAATCAATATACTCACGAATATGATCAACAAATTCAAAATTCAACAATTATTTATTATCTTATTAAATCATTTATGTCTCAGTTAGGAGTAGCGGAGCTAAAATTCGCAATAAGCCAAACAACAGTGCTTAGTGGAGCTAAAGTATCAATAGTAGCAATAGTGGAACAATTAGTAATATGTAGAAGGTAGACCTTTTGAAAAAACTATGATGACACTATAAGGGTCTATCCAGAACTCATGTCAACTTGAATCGCTAAAAATATTCTCTTTGATAAGTGTTTTTCACCCTCTTCATAATGATTCCGCCCCCACCTCTGGTTTCATTCCATCCAACGAGATCCAAGGGGCTAACAGTTAGCTCCTATTTTTGAATACCAATTATTAGAAGAGCTAAACACAGGCCAATTGTGGGCTAATAAGGGTGGTTAGAGATAGCTCATATTTAACCCATGTTTACAAGATGGACAATTTTTTTAGCTTGTGATCCAAACTGCCCCTAAGTTGGATCCCTGGTTAAGAGGAGTTAGATCGATGATCCAATGTCCAAGTCGAAGGAGACTCCAGATTAAGCAACCAATAATCTCATCTATTATTTATATGATATAAGGCCCTGATGTGTCAACATATATAGAAAGTTTACTGAAGTCGGTATGAAAAGGTGCACTAACAATCCTATGAATTTAGTGCATCCCAGACCATGAGACCAACCTAAAAGCGCGCCTCTATAGCCATCATTGCGTGCACTCACGCAAAAGTATCGGGGCATATTATGTTGATACTAACATCGCGCGTCCTTTTCTTTTCCTAATATAAGAAAAGAGAATGGGCAAACGATTGAGGAATGAACTTTGGAGCATGCATATGCGCGCGTGCTGCGCTCGTCGGCTTTTTTTCTCTTTACCATGAAAACTTGAGATGATGACCGGAGTGCACGACCGTGACTCGTGAAAGAAGGAAGAACCCCATTGCTTATGCTGGAGATGGTGACACTTGACAGTTGCATATATAGGGGGCGTTTAGTTTTCACCAAAATCCAAACTTTGGCACTATGCAAAAAGAAGATTCTCCGTCACCTCAAACTTGCGGTAAATACACGGAGTATTAAATGTTGACGAAATCAAAAACTAATTGCACAGTTTGGTTGTACTTTGCGAGACGAACATTTTGAACCTAATTAGTCAACGAGTGGACAATAATTCACAAATACAAACGAAACGCTACAATGTGCTATAGTGCTGATACAGTGATTTTGGTGGTCCAAAATCGGGCAACTAAATAAGGGCTAATATCCCTCATGGCCCCTTGTCTCGTATATATCTTGTGTTTGCATTATGCGTTATTTTTTGTTCTACACAGGCACACAGCATCCATGCTGTCTGATCTGTGCTGATCCCTGTAGCTTTGGATTTTATTATAGGGTACGTGTGTGGAGCCGCCACTCAAACAAGGACATGCAGCATGGCAGATCACGCCTCTGGGTTGGATGTGATGTGAATATTGGGATTGGGATTGGGAGTCATCCACCACACGTCCACGTGGGCAAGGCAACAAATTAAGATATTGTTTATATGTGTATGTATTTATCTCAATCCATATATTTGGAAGTGGATTGAATTAAAATTAAATTAAGTTATATTTCAATCTACTTCAACACATATGAATTGGAGTGGATAATCCTCTTGACTCTTGAGAGCCTCAACCACAGCACACATGCGATGCGAGTCTCCTGGCAGGGTATTGGTTCACACCCTCTGACTTTGTGGCAAAGCAACAAAGAGTCAAAGACGTAGGCCTACAGCTGCTGGCAGAGCAGGACAGCAAGACATTACTCCCTCCTACATACGACAAGAAGACAGCAGGGCAGAGTATTGGTGCACGACCCAGAATGACAGGGCCTTGGGCCAGTTTAGATGCAATTTTTTTTGCAAAATGAAAACGGTAGTATTTTCGTTGTTATTTGGTAATTAGTGTCCAATCATAGTCTAATTAGGTTTAAAAGATTCGTCTCGTGGATTTCGTCTAAACTGTGTAATTAGTTTTATTTTTTATTTATATTTAATGCTTTATGCATGCGTCTAAAAATTCAATGTGACGAAAAATCTTGAAAATTTTGGCAAAACGAAGTGGAAATAAACATGACCTTGTTGCCCTCCGTCAATACCATCCATCGTGATGCCTTGAGGAGCATGTCCTCAGGCGTGGAAGAACCTCCCTGGCCCGTTCCCTTGGATGTTGGATCCTTCGGCAACTAGCTAGCTAGCCGAACAAGAAGCTGGGGACAAAGCTCGGTCGTTTGCCTCCATCAGGTATCCATTGGACCTATCGCTCTCGCCTCTCGGCAAATATAAACTAACCGGACGCTGGACGCGGCAGATAAAGCTCGCTCGGCGATTTGCCGCTAGCTTCGAAATCGAATTCTTCAGCTTTAAAGCGTCGCAGGTCATCATCAGGCTCTGGGAGATCGTCTTGAATAATCGACATGTGAAACCGGCCACTTCACGAACTATGGGCCAAACTGTGCCGCAAAACAAGGAATGGTATATATAGGAGATGCAACGCATGAATGAACAAGTAAAAGAGCAAGAGAAGTAGAGAGCGAGGTGAAGATCGATCACAGCTCGTGTATGTAGCTAGATCCAGCGGACCGAACCAAACCAAACGGCAGCAGGTAGCACTGACCTGTGATGCTGATGTCGTAGCCGAAGATGAGCCCGCCGGAGGCCGCCATCAGGCAGCTCATCACCACCGTGAAGGTGATCTCGCTGCTGTAGCCGGCGCCGGCGCTGCTCAATGTGACTACTCCCCCGCCGCGCATCGTCGCTAGCTTCTTGTTGTCCTCACGCAACCTGGTCGATGGCCGGTCGATCGGTCGGTCTCAGCTCGAATTTTGATCGACTAGGACTAGGAGCAAGCAAGCCTGGGGCCTGGTTGCTGTGATCCTCCGGGCCCGGCGCGCGCGAGGACAGATAAATAGCGAGCTGAGCTCAGTGGATGTCGGATGATGGTGAACACGTACCGATGTTACTTATAGTGGAACTATTTTTCAAAAAAGCTTATGTATGCTCACCAATCCCCTTTTTCGCCATTTTCTATTCCAATTGATTGGTGCAGCAGCTGACTGCGCCGCCCACAGTCGGTACTCAGTACTGAAAGCAAGAGAGAGACAGGAATCTTGCTGGGATAGACTTTAGTTACAAATAAATACTTTATATGTTTTTTCTCAATTTATATTTTTTTTCATTTGCCCTGCGGCTCCATATAATTCCTCTGTCCCAAAATAAGTGTCGCTATAGTATTTATACCGGTCAAACTTTCATAAATTTGACTGGATTTATAGAAAATATTACCATCATTGTATCTCTATATAAGTTTAATATGAAAATAGATTTAATTATCTAATGATATGAATTATGTATTATAAATATTAATATTTTCTTCTATATATTTGGTTAAAGTTAAAAATGTTTGACCCTCGGAAAGTGAGAACGGCACTTATTTTGGGACGGGGGAGTATGTGTTTAATTTAACGTGTGTCCATTTTAAACTCTCTCATATATTGTACTAAAAGCATACCCCGTGCATTGGCCCCGTTCGCTTGTCTTAAATTTATCTTGTTCGGCTTGTTTTTTTCAGCCGGAATAGTGTTTTTCTCTCACAACAATTCAGTCGGAACAGTGTTTTTCAGCCAGTTTCAGCCAAAGTTCAGACCAGCAAACGGGGCTTGTTGTGGGAATTGCGGATGATTTTAAATAAAATTCTACTACTTATGTTTACTTACATTAACAAATAAATATCATGGTATATGTTAATGGATGGTGTACCATGATAACGTGGACAACTAAATACATGCTAGTGGATGATGTAACCTGCTGCTTGAATGAAGACATAATTGCATATGCCAGTGAGTTATCATAATTATGTGCTATTGGATGCTAACTGGACAGCTTGCATAGTGAAATAGAATTTTAGTTGGGATTAAAAAAATATAAGATTATATAGATATAGATACAGATATAAATATAGATTTAAAAATAATCATTGGAATACTTTTTTATTTAATCTACTTGTGACATACTCTAATTACCATTTTTTATTTTTTTAATCTATATTCACGTTTTTTTTTTTTTTGCATTGCTCATCCGTGTTTAATTGAAACCTTAGCATGAATATAGATTTGCACGTGGTAAGCCAAGCGTGTAGGAGCTGCAATGATCAGTTGAGGGAGGTATTCCTCGTTTGAAAAGCATTCCTCGAGATAGCTAAGCCGGCCGATCTCGCGCGTGCCCCGGCTCCGGCGGCGGTTGGGCTTGGGATCCCGTCGCCGGCGCGGATCTCGCCCGGGCCGTCCTCGGCTGGCAGCTGCGGAGCTCGATTGGGCCGTGCTCGCGCCGATCTCGCTGGACCAGGCGGCGGCCCTTCACCAGCGCAGATCTCGCGCGCGAGCGGTGGCTGCGGAGCTTGCTCGGGCTATGCTCGCTGGACCGGGCGGCCACGGCCTCCACGGCGAGGAGTCCGTCTGATGATGCGAGGTGGAGGACTACCCCGTGATGGTTTTGGTGTTGGCCGTCGAGGTCGACGTCTCACGCCTGCGCCATCAATAAGACGGGCGCTGCTGCCATTTGAGGTGCCAATTGAGAAGGAAGATGAAGAAGATGCCGGACGGCGAGCTGCACAGGGCCGTGAGGAACTCTCCGAGATGGTGGCCACGGTTGTTGCTGCTGCTCAAGGTCCAAAGCCGGTCCATGCAGTTCAAGACCGGGATTCAATTGATCAGCTCGGGCCGATCCAAACTAAGTTTTGGAATTGCTCCGATGATCAAGTTATTTCCGAGGACGACAAATATCTTTCCACGACGGAGTTTATTCATCGAGCAAAGGAAGTCGGGTTCACGGTCGACGATTTACTGCGAGCGGATAAAGCACTAGCTTCAGGTATGGATCCCTGTTCAGCAGACATCAAATTGACGCATACAATTTTATCAACAATGGTGAATCGTAAAGTCTCTGGTGGAGTTCCTTGGCAAGGGCCATTGCCGTCTCCCCGTATCTCTCCTCCCAGAACTTTGGGGGATTGTTTGGCCAAGGCTTCATACCAGAATTCGCCTAGATCATCTTCGGCTAAGTTGATCGCAGGTGCAAAAATTGTTAATTCGTTGTTGCCGGAGGGGGGAAAACCGGCCAGTGTGTTGAAAAATTCAAAAGTTTTTGAAAGCATGGACAAGGAGACAGCCACGGAGTTCCCTCCGTTATTTCCTGAGTCAACTACGACTCCTCTCGTGTGTGGCAAAGGAGATATTTCGGGGGGCTCAAACACGTCAAAATTAGAAAGTTCAAAAAAATTTGGAAATCTGGATTCACAGGGAACCAATCCTACTTTCTCTCCGCCCCCTGGGGCAGTGCCGTCGTCGCTTACACACACGGTAGGGGAGGTGGAACGGAGTCATAAGACTATCCCTGAATATCCGGATCGAATCCAAATCGGCCCAGGAAAATTCTTTCGGGCCACTAAGGGTTTGTACGCCCTGTTTTCCCGTACTGGAACCAGGCGCCGTCCTCGTGTACCCCCGCCATCTTGTGAAACAATACTTCGGCGCTCCTTTGCCGAAGTTGTTCGTGTGGGCAAGCCAATGGCGTCGCAAGGGGGAGGCAATGGAGGAGGGTTTGACGGGCACGGTGGGGGCAGAGGTGGCGAGGGATACAATCTGGGCTTCAACCCGGGTTTTAATCCGGGTTTGGTGGACGCGGCCGTGGCTTCGGTGGTCACCAGCGAGGTCGTGCTCGCGGTTATTGTGGCAGAACCTCCTAAGAAATCGGGCCCACGTGCACCTATCGATGTCTCAACAGACCTCAGATAGCGTACACAAGTTCCCAACAACTTAACAGATCTGTCGGGTGTCCTAGGGAAACCCGAATCATCCACGAATCTTTTCTAAACAGGATCCCAATCACAGTCATTGCAGATTACAA